CAGCCATACCAAGAAATGGCTTAGCCCCACCATGAAAAATGATGTTAAAGTAAGCAAAATAAAGTCCGCCAACTCGCACGGAGTAAATTGCACAGACAGCAGTTAGTAAGATTGATTTCAGTAGCCACTTGTCTGGAAATACCGAAGACAAGAAACGGTTTTGAAAACTTTTGTCATGTAGTGATCGTCTTCTCAATAGAACATCTTTGATAATGTCTTCTGGCCAATCAGAATCACGATAACGGCGTGGTGTTGTTGCAGGAAGTCCCGACGGAGAATACTTTTGCTGTAGTACATCTCTATATACATCGATACAACATTACGTGTTGATAGAAATCAACCCGTAATGAAATAAGACCCCACAGTTTGATGATTGATAGGTGTGTGGGCTGTCTTTCATTTTGACACACAGAACAATGGGGGCTATCCACCCTTATCCACAATGTAAAGTAATTCACACAGCCTCTTCTCTCTTCTCTCTGTGAGGAGCAGCAGGTTCAGCTTTCAGAACAAAGTAACAAAAAACTAAAATGGCATTCATTTTTTTAAATACAGTGGGGCAAAAAAGTATTTAGTCAGCCACCAATTGTGCAAGTTCTCCCACTTAAAAAGATGAGAGAGGCCTGTCATTTTCATCCTAGGTACACTTCAACTATGAGAGACAGAATGGGGGGAAAGAATCCAGGAAATCACATTGTAGGATTTTTAATGAATTAATTGGTAAATTCCTCTGTAAAATAAGTATTTGGTCACCTGCAAACAAACAAGATTTCTGGCTCTCACAGACCTGTATCTTCTTCTTTAAGAGCCTCCTCTGTCCTCCACTTGTTAACTGTATTAATGGCACCTGTTTGAACTTGTTATCAGTATAAAAGACACCTGTCCACAACCTCAAATAGTCACACTCCAAACTCCACTATGGCCAAGACCAAAGAGCTGTCAAAGGACACCAGAAACAAAATTGTAGACCTGCACCAGGCTGGGAAGACTGAATCTGCAATAGGTAAGCAGCTTGGTGTGAAGAAATCAACTGAGGGAGCAATTATTAGAAAATGGAAGACATACAAGACCACTGATAATCTCCCTCGATCTGGGGCTCCACGCAAGATCTCACCCTGTGGGGTCAAAATGATCACAAGAACGGTGAGCAAAACTCCCAGAACCACACGGGGGGACCTAGTTAATGACCTGCAGAGAGCTGGGACCAAAGTAACAAAGGCTACCATCAGTAACACATTACTTTGCCAGGGACTCAAATCCTGCAGTGCCAGACGTGTCCCCCTGCTTAAGCCAGTACATGTCCAGGCCCGTCTGAAGTTTGCTAGAGAGCATTTAGATGATCCAGAAGAGGATTGGGAGAATGTCATATGGTCAGATGAAACCAAAATAGAACTTTTTGGTAAAAACTCAACTAGACGTGTTTGGAGGAGAAAGAATGCTGAGTTGCATCCAAAGAACACCATACCTACTGTGAAACATGGAGGTGGAAACATCATTCTTTGGGGCTGTTTTTCTACAAAGGGACCAGGACGACTGATCCGTGTAAAGGAAAGAATGAATGGGGCCATGTATCGTGAGATTTTGAGTGACAACCTCCTTCCATCAGCAAGGGCATTGAAGATGAAACGTGGCTGGGTCTTTCAGCATGACAATGATCCCAAACACACCGCCCGGGCAACGAAGGAGTGGCTTCGTAAGAAGCATTTCAAGGTCCTGGAGTGGCCTAGCCAGTCTCCAGATCTCAACCCCATAGAAAATCTTTGGAGGGAGTTGAAAGTCCGTGTTGCCCAGCGACAGCCCCAAAACATCACTGCTCTAGAGGAGATCTGCATGGAGGAATGGGCCAAAATACCAGCAACAGTGTGTGAAAACCTTGTGAAGACTTACAGAAAACGTTTGACCTCTGTCATTGCCAACAAAGGGTATATAACAAAGTATTGAGATGAACTTTTGTTATTGACCAAATACTTATTTTCCACCATAATTTGCAAATAAATTCTTTAAAAATCAGAAAATGTGATTTTCTGGATTTTTTTTTCTCATTTTGTCTCTCATAGTTGAGGTATACCTATGATGAAAATTACAGGCCTCTCATCTTTTTAAGTGGGAGAACTTGCACAATTGGTGGCTGACTAAATACTTTTTTGCCCCACTGTATGTGGTGTAGTAATAGATTTATTTATTTTTCTTCTCAAGAGAGTACCAGAATGTGTATTTTATGTTAGTATTTCAAAAAATCTCCTGGGGGAGAATCCCTCCAGACCCCCCTACAGGGGTTGGGTTTTCAGCATGTCAACTCTTTCACTTGTGGGGAAATTGCAGGTTTGGCTCCGGGTCGCCCTTTTTATTTACTACAAGACAAATGTGCCATTTTATTTCATACAGTTCAATTTGGATTGAGACAGGGAAATAATCTAAACCTCACAAGTGGCGTTTCACTGTCAAGGGGAGCATGTATGTAATTACATTGCAAATACTGACTTGAGCCCCACCACTGCATGGGTTAGCCCTACCATAGATTACCCAACACAAATACTCTGGCGCCGCCACTGTTTGCGGTCTACAATGACAGAGAAGAGCCTGTCAAGTTTGGCTGTACTCAATATTGAATCAAAACGCACTAAATCTTTAAATCTTAATAAGTTTGTGAGGCGTTTTGCTGATCAAGATGGTAATCGCCACATTCAGCTGTAATAGGCATGCCAACTTGATGCTCTGCTCACGGATGAGTCGATGAGAATAATAAACTGTTAAGATGATGACCTTACGTGTGTAAATATATTTTTCTTCTTTGTGGGGGTCTGCCCCCAAAAAACAGTTTCACGTCCTGAGAAAGTCAAATAAGACGGTGTGTAAAACTACACTGCCCAGCCACACAAAAGTAACCACTTTGATTTAACTAGGCCAGTAGGTAAGGGCTTTCCACTGGATCATAACTGCAGCGATGTAATGTATATGTTTTAGCTGAATACACATTTTTTTAACCCTAACTGATGCAGTTAGTCACTTCTTTAATGTTTGTTCTTTCTGATGTAAAGTCAAGGTTGGAACTGTTTACAATGAAGTCGTGGGGCGCTGAACTGTTCTTTTGATTTATGATAGTAATTACTTGTCTTTCAAATTTGAAGGAGGGTGAGCAAGCATCTTGAGGAACGTTCATCATTAACTCCTCCAAAAAATATAGTTTATTTAATAATAACACTGAATATGTGAATCATAAAAGGGATTGACAGCTGATAGGAATGATATGATTGTTAATAGTATCATATTCATACAGACAAACATTGATGAGACAGTTAATTAATGTACTTATTGCAGCAGTCTTCATAGATTTGGTACCCCTGCTGGTCTAAGAGTGAAACAAACTCATTTAGTTAAAATGCATTAAATGATGTCTGCCACCTTATATATTTATATGTAAGGCTTTACTGATGTGCCACAATAATGTCACCTAATGTTATTGAGTTAAAATATCAATATTGTGGCTTTCCAAGTTAACATTGATTGATATGACTGCGATTAAATCAGCATATACTTCTGCCAGGGAATGCCACCCCTGAAATTCTCCTGCCACCCTCTTGCCACTCCATGAATATTTTTCTAGATCCGCCCTTGCTTTGAGTATAATGCAGGACTTTTACTTGTAAAACAGTAATCCTAGTCTCTCTGGTACTTGTAACTTTACTCAAGTACAAGATCTGAGTACTTTTTCCACCTCTGGTTAATACCATAATAACCTTAACCGTTAAGTCATCTTTTAAGCACCAAACATACCAACGTAAGCAACTATATCAGCAAGCTAACGATAAAGCTAATGCTGAAAGTTAAGTGGTTGGTGATGAATAAACAAAAGCTAAAACAAGGTAATACAATGTTGAACTTACATTCGTCAGAAAATACTTTAGTGGGGGCGACGACGTTGTTCTTCTGTCCGGTGTGTAAGCAGGCGACTTTTCGTTACCCAGTTAGCCATAACGACTTTTGAACCGGTGTTTTGATGCTAGTGGTGCACCTGTTAGCTTGTTTACAGGTTGTTTAGCCCCCTAGCGGTTATATTATAGAATACACTCACATTAAAGCCTGGCAACTAGCCTCCTAGCAACCATGAAGCTGAAACATGTCTCCACCAACCACTCCCTAAAGAGTGTATTTTCTTTATTTATTCAAAATAATCACATCACAACAGTATAATAACACTAATATTGGACAAATCCTACACCATTAAGTCACAAGCTATTAACTAATACCTCGTAATAATAATAAATATAGACAAAAAAGAGAAAGTGATACCACATCTTGCATAAAGGACTTATTCATAACTGCAAAACTTCCCAGAAGGACTCAAAATGGATGTTCAATAGTTTATTTAATTTATGTTGACTACTATCATAATTCTATATTATTACAGACAAAGACTAAGTAGGCTTGATAAGGGTTAATATAGGATTTTTTTTTACCATTATTCAGCATAAAAGAACTATTATAATATAATAATAACTTTATTTATAGGCTACAGCTCTTTTCAAAACAAAGTCACAAAATGCTTTACATGGAGATATATACAATACATTAGATCAATAGAAATCCGAGGAAAATCCATATATATCATAACCTTCTCGAAGGGAAAATGGCACATGAGTATTTAATGTTTCAGAATTGTTGAATGACAGATCGCACTGAAATCTTAATTTATTCCATTTAAATGTCACTACCAAAGCAGTTTTGGTTAAAGGTGTATATTTGGTTATTCAATTTAACAGGCAGGCCTACAATATTGTTGCTGTCTTTGTTAAGATACAAAATATTAGCCTATTTGTTCACATGGAATGTCATATAACAGCTAATGCTTGATATATCTGGTGTTTGCTGTAATAGTACATGGTATAATTGTACCTTAACACACTACACTTTGCTTCAAATGTAAGACACTCCTAATCTCTGTCTTTTTGTTGCTACTGAATGTGAATGAGCTGACACAAAAGTAGACACTGGACTTCAGATTGACAACATAAAGATGGGAGTTTTATTGATCAGTTCATTCTTTACATTTGTAACTGTTTCTATAGATATACATTCAATAATTTATGTATGCGGTCTCAAACCAGGTGAACTTCATCTCTACAGTCAGTTAAACTTTCTGTATCTACTTAGAAGATTAGTGTTAATTTATCCTTGAAAAACACAACTTGTGCATGTACCACATTTCCTTATGTACCACAGTATTACCTGTGAAATGCACGTACAAAGGAAAATGGCTTTTGGTAGACTCAAGTGGACTGATTTATCGATGTTATGGCCTTGTTTCTTTGATTTTTAAGTTACAAAACCACACATTTCTTGCTATACCTATAGTTCATAAATACAGTATATATTATAACCATTCATCTTGTGCTAAAATCAAAGCTGTGCTGCCGTCAGTTTAAAAAAAAGAGATCTCAACATCGATAACAAACAGGGAAACGGTGCTGCATGTATATATTTTTGCAATATAATGTTTACAGTAATTTTACAGTGTTTTTAATGTCCCAGACTTTCTCTAAACCTTAGCGAATTTTACATAGAGAAAAACAGAGTTAATGTGTGCTTGCAAATTACTGTGTGGGAATGTGTTTTTTTGTTGAATTTGTACTAAAGCCTGGAGAAACGGAGACATTTAAAACAGTTAAAATAATGAATACTTTTCGACAGATCCATGTGGCAATGATGTAAACAGCTCTTTTACATACACAATTACTCAGTCACTCGTTGGTTATATAGATGGGTGCCATGGTTACCAAATCACGTGTACGACAAAGAACACAATACCACAGAAATCAACACCGATCTCACTGCCAACAAACTACCTGCAAAGTCCTCCTGTGTCTATTTCTGTGTCTGCAGGATATTCAACAGGAGTATGAGGCAAACCATTACATTAATAAACAGTAATAATCCATAAAATAATGATCGAAAAGAGAACAAAACAAATAAAGAGACAATATATTCTTCTTTTAAGAGTGGACGGGCACACAAAATGTTGAATATATTACATCGTTGTGCAGACGGTCCGATCATCAGCCAGACAAAATGCTTTAGAAGTTCAGTGTCTCCGACATCATCTTCCACCAGTCCATCAGCTCCTCGCGCTCCTCCTCCTTCCTCTCCATCAGAGACTCCAGCTCAAAGTCCACCTGAGACGGTGAAAACAACGGATTAGACATAATTAACTAAAGCAGAGTTCTTCTTTTACATATTCCAAGTTAGAAATGTCCTACCATAGACTGGATTGTTTTAGATTTTGCAACAAATTCATTGATAAGTAAAGACTCCCACTTCAGAGCTTAAAATGAATAAGGCTTATTACCATGACCCATAAAAAAGACCAAAACAGCTAATAATAATGTAAATAATTTTACAATTTATGTATTAGCAGTTAATTTCCTTTTTTATAATTTTAATATTGTTTGGTCATTAATCTGTATGTTTATATTAAGTATATGTTTTAGATAGTATAATACTGGATACATTTAAATATGGATACATAATGTTCATTCTTTTTTTATTAAAAATTAAATTAAATGTAACTTGATAAACATATTGTTATAAAAAAATAAAAACGGAACTCTCAATTCTTGGGAGTCAGTCATACGTCCCCCTACATATGTGTACTGTAACCAAATCAGGTAATGTCTTACTCATATGCTCGAATATTAAAATATTCACAATAAATTTGAGATTCAGCAAAAAGCACTTCTTGTATACTACCTTGTTGGAAACAAAAAGAGAGCACACAGTGCATGTGAGGCAGAGTTGTGTGTGTCTGTGAGTCTCACCCTGGTTGCAGGGCTGAAGGCAACAGCCACCTTCTTGATGACCGTCAGGTATCCTGGGGCAGTGGCTGCCACTTTGTAGTTTCCTGGAGCAAGGAGGCGCCAGTAGTCTCCATCTTTGGCTACAAAATACAGATTTTCTCATTAATACATGTAAAAAAGCCCCCAACAGCTGCTAAGAAAGTGATGCACTACTGAGTTTGTCCACCAGAGGGCATTACAACATCATACATTACATTCGTGGCACACCTCATGTCACTGGTTATACATGGTTGTCAGGATTGTGTGAATTTTCACTGGATGCTGATACCTGTGGTGATGTCGTGGTCGATGCCCTCCACAGAGATGCTGGCATTGAAAATGGGGCTTCCCTGGAGGTCACGCACAAAGCCCTTTACACCCCGGTGAACCTACAAACACACCAAGAGGAATAATCAATGTTTGGTTCAGGGAAACAGGGCGGAAAATGGGTTTAATGGGACTTAAATGTACATGGCGTGCTCTTTGGAGCGGATAACACACTAGAAAAAAGACAAGGAAATAAATACAACAGCAATATTTACAACAATCCACTAAATTATTTTTATTTTGTTATGGCACATTTTGTAATAATGCTAACAATGGACTCTTTAAGTAACAAAAGTGGAAGTGGTGTTATGTTGTCATACATGAAGAAAACCTCTGAGGTTAGGGTGGATGGCTGTGACTTTGAAACTGTGAGACAGCATTTTATGTCACATCCTCTGACAACAGTCAACACTGGTTTCCCCATAAAGGCAATCTTTGCCCAACCTTAACTAAGTCGTAATCGTTGATCTTACTTAACCCTAACTTGGCTAAAAAAAGGTGTCATAGAAAATCATAAGGAGAAAATGCATCTGTTGTCCCCTTTTGAACAGTACAACTCACAAACAAGTTGTTTATATTATTTAAGTACAAAGACTTCTCGACCATCATCTTACCGATTTCTATTTACCCCGTTTACTATATTTCCCTGAGATAGAGCTATTTAGCTTTTGAATTGATGTTTTTTTTAAATGGTAATTTAGAGTTGACTCTGGAGTTAGTTCATAGAAATGAACTAAAACTAGATTAAAAACGACATCCCATTCACCGCTGAAACTAGAGATAATAAGGACATCTTTTCAGTCCAGGCGATGCTGCCTACCTGCTCGATGTAGCTGACCAGTGAGTTGCGGTTCTGCTCCCAGTAAGTCTTCAGGTTGTCCTCACTGGGGAACTTGTCACAGCTGAGCTCCAGAGTGATCTCAAAACAGTTGCTGCTGAGGTAGTTGAAATCCTGCATTCCTGTGATGGGTAAGAGAGCAACAAGAATAAGAAAGTAGCAGAAAGTAGATTTGTTGAAATTAGAGTAACACACATTTTTGATAGAAATTCTAGCGGTTTAAGGCTTATATGGACAGTTGTATATGCTGGTAAATATATTTTTAGAAACACTGACTGTTGTTTTAAAGTAACATTTTTAAATAGAGCAGATGGACAGTCCAACACATCAGCAGATTATTTTAGCTGAAAATAAATATATACCTGTCTGGATGATAAGTACGATCTAACAGAAGGGTATGTTTGAAGATAAAGTTAAATTCTGCTGTGATAAAAGCCATCCTGTTCTAAACCAGATCAAGGATTATTTCTGAAACAGTATGGAGCTCAAATTATTTTTCTCTAGCGGGTTTATCACAAGGTGAGTTCTTTTTTTATTTCCTGCTTTTTAAACACATGTGCTCGACACAGTACAGGTTAGCTCTGAGTGTTAGCGAGGCTTGCTAATGTAAACGAATACCATATTACGTCCAAAACACGTCAGGCATTGTTTCTGATAGCAACTCTCTGTGGGTCCACCATCCGAAATTACGTAATATCGGCAGCAAATCTGTATCCGCTCGTTGTACCCCCGTTTTTAAAAGATGTGGAAGAGAGAAAGGGTTTTATTTTCTGACGCTGCGTGAGTTCCCCGACGCACCGGGGACACATATTTATACACAAAAAGGGCATTTTGCATGATAGGTCGCTTTTAAAACTTTAACATCAGAGAGCACTGACAAAAAAATGTTTATGTTAAATATCTCGTTCATGCACATTTCTTTAGTAACATAACAGACTCTTATAAGAATACATGTGTTCATGTAAAAAAAGAGTAAACCATAAATAAAAAAGTTGCTATCATGATACATACGTTTTTAAAAAGCCAGATTGAAAAAAATACAGAGGCTATAATGTCAGCAAGAAAATGCAAAGGGAACATGGGAACCTGCATGGGAACCTTATGATTTATGATGACCTTATTTAAGATAAGATCAAATATCCATATTAACATCAGCCTCATCTATATCTAGCCTTAAGTTCTTAACCTATTAACCCAGGCAACCCTTCCTCTGCAGAATCCTAGACCTCACACACTGGGCTCTGGTGACCTCTTACCTCCGGGCACGCTGTACCAGGCCCCTCCGTTAGTGATGCCGTCTTTGAAGCTGGAGTCGTCGTCGTTCTTACGGCAGGGGGGGCGGTTGGGGTCGGACATGACTGGGTTGTACATGGAGTAAGACTTGGCCAGAGACTTGAACACAACATCATCTGGACTGGAGCTGTACTCATGAGTGGAGCCTGAGAGGAGGAACGAGAGGGAAGGGAACACACAAGACCACAATGTTTATACAGCGCCTGGGATAAAGTATTAATGAACTAAACACCTTCATCTGAAACGAATTAAAGGCATGCCTGCGCAAAAACATTTAGTTTACTTTGAGTAATAAATGCACAGGAAGCAGTAGAATGAAACATTCTCCATCTGATTTAGATTAAAGTTACGACTTTCTGAGTGTTTGTTGTTCTCATAACGACTGAGGGAAAAAATGTTCTCAATGAACAGTAAAATAGGGCTGGGTTTGAGATTGTGTGTTAATGTACCAGTGCGGGTCTCATCATATGGGTAGTTGGCCACCACGTCTCCTCCATGCAGGTTAGCTGACAGCACGAAGGGGATATCCATGATCCAGTGAATCACTGCTTTGGTCTCTGGAGCCAGCTGCAAAGAAAAAACATCTTACTCCTGTTTCAGTAACACTGTAGATGTCAGATTTCTTTTTGTGTAAATGTTACACTTTATAAATGTGTGACCCATTTGTAGAGATTAACATGGTCAGTAGGATGAAATGGGTTAAGGCTGAGTACCAAAGACAAAGTATTTATGGATGCTTTTATCTTTTCATGGGTTTGGTTGGCGATAAAAAGTATCAGCAGCCATTTTAACCATTCATACCGCCTGCTTGTGGTCCCTTTAATCCCATGTTCTCTGTGTTTGTGTACCTTGGTGTTTTCTTCCACAGCCTTCTTCATGTTCTGCAGCAGGTGGTTGTTGGCTCCACCCTCCTTCTCATTGATGTAGATGATGCGGTCCAGATCGGGGAAGTTACGGTTCAGATCCACGCCCTGCGCGTTACTGCGGCCCACAAACCAGTCCTTAATCTCTCCGGGCTGAGCAGGAAACAGGAGATGATATTCAGACACAAAGCTTTAATAAATACTAATGCTCCTCTCTATGTGTCAAGAGCCGTGTTGGCTAAATCTGTTGTCTTGTAATCTTGATCCGTCTGATGCTAAAGCCTCAGATCAGGTTTGTTTACTGGGTGTTATTGTTGTGCTGTTTCATCACCTGAGAGGCGGCCTTCTCGAATCCATCTGGATTCATGGAGGGCATCAGGTGGATGCGAGTGTTGTGGACGAGGTCGATGATGGTCTCGTTGCCTTGCTGGTACTGGTTGCACAGGTACTCAGCTAGGTAGATGATCAGCTCTCTGCCCACGGCCTCGTTTCCGTGCATATTGCCGATGTACTTGAACTCAGGCTCACCTGCAGGGAAGACATAAACAGAGATTTAATTCCACATAATTGATTCCACCTTATTCTGTAAAGCGTTTGTACAGCTCATAGCGAGATAATTAACTGAAAACAGGAATGTGTTACAAAGAAGGAGGATTTTCACAAGGTTGAATGTGAATGCACCTTTTACCAGCCAATCACATAAGGCCACTGAGCGAAATATCACAATAACGTCACAATCTTTGTGAGAAAAGGCCATTTTAGCCATGGAAAATCAAAGAAGAGAAGGTCACTGATAAAGTCATTTGTGAGGGAGTTTACCCTGGACACACACACAAACACTCACACACAGATCTATAGACTATAACACTAGTTCTTCACGCTCCAGCAGGGACGAACACACTGACTCATCAGCTAAAAGGTTAAAGACAATTTAACACAGCAGTGCAGAACTCCATTTGGACACTAAAGAGCGACAGACAGTGGATTATTGACCGACACTGTCACAGATTGGTCTGCTTGAATCTTGCTGGAGGGACAGATCTGAGGTTAGAAACGACTTCAACACTGAAGAGTTTCACTCAAGGACATGATATGAAAATAAATTGTATTTTTGTAAGATATGGGCCCAACATCATGCTGTTTATAGCTTGTAATGTGTCATCCTTCATTACAGCATTAACAAAAACAAAAGCAATGTATATTCTCAAATTCGAAATGTAACATTCAAGTACTTTATTTAGAATATTATACATTTTGTAATATACAGACACAATGATCTTAACCCATTTTACATGTGAAAAGTGTCTGAATTTAAGTTGTTTGATATTGACATGTGAAAAGCCTTTTTCTCAACTAAACAATGCTTTTATGACCAAGATTGCAAGGATTTTGTTTTTGCAATAAACCTTTTAAGTCAGTACGTTTTTTCTACCAGCAAAAAAGGTAAAAGCCCACTCTTCTGCTCAAATGATAATTGTAAGTGGGTTTTTTCCTAGGTAAAGCCATGGATAAACAGGCATGGTGACAATTATTTAGCTTTATTTCTTTATAAATGACATTTTAGAATTATTTTTGATTTATATCAACTTACTAATACAATCTTGAACCACCTACAGTATGTTGTCATCCAACATGACTGCTTTCCTTTACCTGCCTTTCTTTATCATCTTTTGATATCAGTGTGCTCAGTAAAGCTGTGTTTTAATGACCCGGCTCCAACCATCTGTTTACTACACTAATTAGCTGTTTCTTCTCTGAATCTCTTTGTGCAAGCTTACAGTATACAAACACATACACACATTAGCAAAAGTGCTACTAAGGAGTTATATAAAGCCGTGCACAAAAGGACAAAGAGGATGACGAAGTAGGTACTGTGCCCACTCTTTTGATTAGCTACAAACCAGAGAACAGTGGCTTTCTGTGGCTTTTTGGGGAAAAAAATCCAGTTTCGATTGAGGTGCTTTTTGTGTGTATTTTAATGTTTTTTACCTCTATTCTGATTGGGCGATTTCCAGGGATTCTTCTCCTAATTCCCATCATTAAGTTCAATTTGTTGCTTGTATAAAAGTAATGCTTTCAAGATTAATTTATACATGTGTGTCAATATTTGCATCTTCTTGATCCAGTTTAGTGTTTTTTTTTTAACGTTTGATGTTTCCTAGTGGCTACACACACACACACACACACACACGCACACACACACACACACACACACACACACACACACACACACACACATCTGGTAGTTAGGTTATTTTTAAACGCTATGGTTCATCTCTGAGTTTCTACTAATGGTTTCAAGACTACAATTAACTCTTTCTGTTCTGAGCGTTGTGAATGTTTTTCACAGGCGTAAGAGGCCTGACAGAGCTGTCAAACACGTATGCCCACACGTTCCACACATACTTTGAAGTTGTACTCTGCCTAAATGAGTTAGTATGTCTCAAACTATTACACAGATGCTCAGTATCTGGAGGCCTTCCCTTACTCCTACACATGTAAGAATTAATGAATTTAAGAGGCAGGGCAGGCAGGCAGGAGAAGGACTAATGGTAATTTACGGCATATACAAGTTTGTATTAATTACATTTATTGTAATTTTTGCTACTTGTGCTTATGTAAAATAACTATTTAAACAGATATGCAAACACATTTAACCAGAGGTGGATTCTCTTCACGAAGGCAAGCAAGAAGCTAGGACAAATCAAAATGTCCTTCTTCCCTCTGGAGCTACCAAGTGTCCTACCTTATTTCTCTGTATGTCAAACTGTCTGCACCTCTCTGAGCTTTTACTCTCCTGTGCAAACACATGACAGGACACTTAAAGTAAAGTAAAAGGTTCACATGTACCTTTTTCATACTTCACATAAGGGCAATGTGGTTTTTGGACAGTTTATCATTTTCCATTTGCGTTTTACAATCATAAACGATGTTCACGGATGAATTTGTTATATGCAAAACATCATTTTATGTATTTGGTAAATGCACAATAGGGCTTTGTAGATTTAAATAAAAACAACTTGGAGAGTGTGCACACCCAAACCAAATTGGGTACAGACACAGGACAACAGCAGTGCACAAAGGAAAAGGAAGGGTAGACCACACTCAAATTATTGTAAGCTCCAAAAACTCTAAGCATTTTGATCTTTAAAGATTGTCTTCGGGCAAATATGTGTTCAAAGAATGATGGGTGTTGTGTTCTCAAAATTGTAGGATGAGCTGTCATTTTTGTAACCAAATCCATTAAAGGTCAGCAATTTGTGGAAAATCACAGTTTCCCAGAGGTTGTCTTAAAAGGGTATTGTGTTATCCAATGCACTATTTTGTTACTAAAACTAGCAAACATGGAGGTTTTATATATTTGTATCCTTAGTCAATCATCAAAACAAATCATTTAAGTAATTCATTGTTCTTGAGCCTATTGAAAGCCAGCTTTGTGTTCATATATTTGCCTAAAGAACATCTTGAAAGAAGATGGTTGCTTTGTTTAATTTTTACGATATTTAGTGTGTGTACAACCTCTCCTCCTTTAGTTTCAATAGTGTAAAAACATTAGAGAGTTACTATAGATAGATATCCCTGAGCGTGTGTGTAAAAGTGTGATGTGGCTTCTCTCATCACAGATCATATAACACATCTGAGGCGGACAAAACCTCACTGTATAATCATAATGTGCCTGGCAGGTGATCAATACAGTCTCCACGGTGACCACGTGACTGCAGCCACGTCATTAGGGAAGCACCCTATTAAAGTGCTCTTAGTCGTCGTGGCAACACTGACACAGGCAGGTGCTTAGGGAGACAAATCAACTCGGAGGATGAGTAAACACACTCAGACTGTCTGCCTGTTTCTCTCACACACACACACACACACACACACACACACACACACACACACACACACACACACACACACACACACATAAATAAAACATAGAAAATTCTGGATTATAAAACAGCTGTACAACGTGTACAAAGAGTCACAGTCTGTAGACCGTTTACAATCTAGCTTCTTCTGTAACTCAACCTCCATTTCTCTCTGTTTTGTATGTTTTATATTTAGATTATCAAAACATATATACACCAAACAACTGACGTGATGCCCACTTTAAACAGTGTTTTCTTAATAAATACTTTAAGATGCCTATGATGATGCCTTTAAATGTATTGTGTTGTCCGACAAAGAGTCCAGACCTCAGTTGACTCATATTCTTCATTTTAACAAACACATACAATTGGTAACAAATGGTAGCATTCACCGACAACAACCAAAGAGACTGCTGACTGCTGGTGGCCAATACACAGCGTGACATGAATCATGCTTGTTACCCAGCATGTTGAGATGCAGCATATGGTGGAAAGAGAAGCACAATTCAAATGTGTGCAGAAGAAGGAAAGAAACAGAAATGAAGCTTTGGCAACAGAAGAAGCAAATCAACACAAAGAAGAAGAAGGAAAGCAGAGTGAAGGCAGAGCGGAGGAGGATGCATGTCGGAGTCTGATGTATAATAAATGACCTCTGTCTGATGGCTTGGCCTTTCTCTCCTCTTTCCGTTTCTGCTTCTCCCTTATTCCCTCTACGTTCTTTCGCCCGTCCTTCTTCTTGTCCCTCATCACCCTTTCACTCCTGTTACATTTCCCGTTTTCTCAATCATCATTCCTTCCTTTTTTTTTATCTCATCCTGTTCTTCCTCTCAGCTGTTTTTGCTATCTGTGCCTGAAGAGGCTCCGCACAGCTATAATGGCCATTCAATGCACTGGGATTGCACTCTATTCTCCTCCACTGTATGGATACTATTAAACCCATGTCTGCGTGTTTTTCACTTTATATTCAATATGTAATGTGATACATATCCAGCGGTGAAGCTGGCTACTACACATATGACCGAGCATCTGTGTGCGTGCTCACTGGAGATTACATACTTCCTGTGTCGTCCGATAAAACACTCCAGCGTCTCCCCTATATGAGAGGGTCTACAGTATATTGAACCCATTTTTTTTGCACCTTCAGACAAAGCCAAAACCATTACAATATAGGGTTTCTCCTCACACTAGAAGCCTTGTAAATAGTTCCAGACATGAGAGTCAGAAGAGTTTGATATGATATGGCCCAGCTGCAAAAAGTAAACACCTCCTCCTCCTCAAATGAGAAAACATGTCAGCGCTGATGAATGGTTGGCGGAATATTGAAAATCTTTAACTCATAGTTTCTATATTTGAAATTCAGCCAGTATTATGATCATGCCAGTAAAACAGTACATTTACACTAAAGCTTTGGTAATAGTGAGGATTTCAGGTGTTGGTAGAGGTTTTGTTGGACAGAGCCAGGCAGCTGTTACCATTCTTTGTGCTAAACTTAGCTAACCTAACCGGCTGCTGTCTCTAGCTTTACGCAGTTTAGCTAGATGAGATTGTATCAAACCTTTCATCTATAACCTCTGTAGTCTATATATTTACTTGTAAGGGATATACCCGGCTCTTTATCTGCTAATTGTTCATGTTTCTTCACCAGCTAGTCTCTAACTCTCAGGTAGCGCTAGCTAGAGGTTTCTTGTTGAAAACAGTTACCTGCTGCAGACAGAAATGGCATTGATGGAAGCGGAGAGAGTTAACCTAAAGGAAGGCTTTTAGCAGGACGTAAAACCAAAACAATGTGTTTAATGACTGATTGGGAAACACTGCTTTGAAGGAACTTAGATGGGAACTGCAGCATTAGAGTCCCTTTTCACCAACAAGTAGTCAGGTGATCTGTTGCTAATATACAAATAATGACTAAAAACTATTTAAGAAGAGTATTAGAGTAACTTGAGTTTATTCCAACCACTGTATGGTTCCTATACTGCATAGACTTTATATGAATATGTTACCAGTGTGTTTACTCTCTGGGCTATAGGCATTTCCTGTGCTGCAGTGTGACAGATGGCTGCTCACTGACAGATGAGCCCAGGACCGTCGTCCTCCGTCCAGCCAACCACGAGCTGCCCGTCAGCTCAGTGCACTAAGCCGATCTGTTGCCCCGGCAACTGCTATTTCGGCTCCACCTCAGAGTTTCAACACACTGCGAGGTCGGATAAAATATTGGTCTGGCATTTTAAAGGGGAATCTTAAAAGAGGTTCCTGTCCTTGCAGATTTCACACACTCATTTATCTAAACCATCTTCCTTCACTCTCCTTTTGACATGTCAGTCTCTGGAGCTCTTCTCCTCTGTTTCATCCCCCTCCTTGCTGTGGACGTTTTGCTTAGCAGAGGTAGAAGGAGAGGAACAGAGAGAGGAGGGAGGGGGTGCTGCCCCTGTTGGAAACTCATCTGGTAGTAATAAGGTCTCCACTCCGCTACTGTGACTCATGCCGACGCACGCCCACCAGACTATTACGGGCTTATTCAGTACGCACATACGGTCATTAGACTCTGTGACCATGCAGCTAAACACACACAACCTGTGGTGCACCGTTCAGAACGCACAGAGAAGAAAATACACCTTTACATGAGACATATAGTTACAAACACCACAAACTGGCCTGTACACCATATAAAGTGTAATTATAGGCAATGTTTTTTTCTTTTTCTTTTGAGGGCTGTTTCAGGGTACATGGAAGAAATTAATCACTTCCAGCTGCAACAGTTAAACCTCCTGTTTGTTTTGAGAGTCAGACTGAAATCACTGATGGGTACATTCATTAAGGTTAAATGTATCCTTTAATGTGGAATTACTGCTTTTGGTGCACTGATGTTTTCATTTTAGTGGAAGTTTATACTGTCACGATATTAATATTAATCTGACTATTAAAAAAAAACCATATATATATACATATATATTGATATCCTGTAATAATACACATATTTTACATTGTGTAAAAAGTCCAGTGAATTTCATTTCTTTGTTTTTTTAAGCTTTTGTGCAGTAATGGTTACGGATTCTTCACCTCATGCTCATATAATGGTATTTGCAAAACAAAAGACGAAATGCACATTAAGTTCAAATTGAATTTCACTGTTATTCTTTCTTCAAAATGAATGATTTCACTAATGCAAATTATTTTTGATATGGTGATTTGTGTGCCCTATTTTGGATTATAAAATGTCCAATTTGGTTTTGTTATTTACCAATTTTTGGTTTTGTTATTAACAACAATAAAATGTATTCATGAAAATATATATTGTTGTCTTGAATTGACTAATAAAGGACTTATTTCCATTATTGAAGCTAGATCATTTTACAATCTTTATCAAGATTGAGATTCTGACTATTATATTATAAAAGCTATATTTTGCTATGGTGTGATTTCATTCCAGATTGATGTCAAACACAAAAGGGAAGAAGTAAAGGAACATGTAATAGAAGCTGGCTCTCCATGTTTGTCTCCATCTAACAGCTTGAGGTAATCTAGGCCATGCTCCTCCATTTTCAAAAACACTTTTGAATAGCGATTCTTTTTTTCTGGTGACATTTGATATTTGTTTTCTACTCCTGCTGTTTCATGGCCATCAGGAGATTTCAAAGGTGATGTTGATCTCCTTAATGCACTCAAGTGATAAAACTGAGACATTTTCCCCATTTGAGGCGTGATGTAAGAAAAAGGAGAAGGTGCTTTGCATCTAAAAGCAGCAGTGATGGTTTGCAGTTCCTGTGGCTGGTGAAAACTGCCCTTCAACCAAAAGGTCTCACATGCTGACTTCTTCTACTCTATGGATTCCACCAGCCTGCAGTCGGGACCTGACAACATCAAGGAGGGTGATGGAGATGCAGGGAAGTCAAGACATTACTCAGATCCACTAAGAGACACCATAACTAGTCCAACCCTATCAAGACTTCATATAATATTCAGTCAAAGGCTTCCTCTTTTGAAGGCCATGCATGGACTATTTTCTCTCATATGCTGCAACCAACACCACTGACACATCTGCTTTTGATTGGGAGGCATATACACTCAAATGGCAGCCCAAACGAGCCGTGGCAATATGATCAGCCCCGTTTGGCATGTTTTTCCCAACATCACGACTAGGTATAAGTACGAAGAGATCTTTATCAACCAGCAAAATGGCGGCTTTGCGTGGCTGATCCCACAATCTATCATCTAGAAACCTCTGAAGTGATGCAGCAGGCCCCTGAATGCACCGCACACACCTGCGCTCCTCCTCTGCTCTTCCCCAGTCATTGCAGCCCCCATCAGCCACACGGATGGTCTCTAATTAACCCTCACATTAAATAAACGCACCTGCAGCCTGCTATGCGCAATAGTGCGTGATGTGTTTGTGTTATTATCACAGCTTGATATAATGGGTGAAGGAAGTCGGGGGACAAAAGGCAGCAGGGATGGGGTGCATTCACCGCATTATGATGACTTTCTGTATGCGTAAAACTGACCAGGTTCGTGCGTCCCGGGGTTGTCTGACATCTCCAGCACCAGCAGCTCGCGGCCCTCGAAGCTCTCCCCGATGGTGTAAATGCGGGTGATGGTCGGGCACTGCAGCCACACCGAGACCAGAGCCTTCCGCAGCTCCTCATAGCGGTGGTACTCGAAGGAGATCTCCCCCTCGGTGCCTGCTGCTGCCGCGCTGACTAGGGCCACTGCGGCCCCGAATAAAACTACCGAAGTGAAGAGTTTCATCTTGACGTGTTCTCTTTTCCCTAAGCCCTGTCTGTGTGTGTCGGTCC